TGTTGGCCAGGCTGGTCTCAAACTCCTGACCTCCTGATCCTCCCACCTCAGCCTCCCGAAGTGCTGGGATTACAGGCTTGAGCCACCATGCCCGGCCTGATTTATTAAATAGAGTTTTATTTTATTAGAATGAATACTAGTTCAAGCCTGACTAAATTTGTTACTTGATACTTAATAGTAGTCTTACATTGTGACACATAGTTATGTGATTTATGACTACCGTAGCAATTATTTTATAAATGTACTGTATGTTTCCAAGCACTTTCTGCATGTCTGTGGGGAATACCAGAAGACATGGTTAGTCCTGGCATTTGAAGAATATGTATTTATATTCTGAATTAGCACCAATTATGTTTTTAATGATTTATAAAACAAAGTAAAATGTAGCCTGGCTGTATCTAAGTGATCAGACATTATTTTTCTATTTCTGTTTCTTGAAAACACTGTATTTTTTTTTTCTCTCTTCAGGCATTCTGCATCCAAGATCAAAGAAACACTGAATGTTCTGAAAAAATAGAGACTCATTTTTTAAAATGGTCAGGGCAGCCTTTTAGCTTGCTCCCAGGTCAGCTAATACCTCTCTATGTAGTTTGTTATTCTGCTTTACAAAGCACATATTTCCAAATTATATTATTTTGTACAAACCTAGACAAACCTTACCTTGACTTTGAAAGCATGTCGAGGTCAGTAATGTTTAATTTAGTACATTGTTCAGTGATCAAATAGAGTTGTAAATTGTTCTTTGACACTTCATGAGATAATGTTAAATGAATTATTTAGTGTTAAGTGAAGAACCTTGCTAAATTATTTTAAACTATTCAAAGTGCATTAAAGTACTTTAAGATTTAGTTCCTTAAAGATGTTATATTTTCAGTTCATGCTTTAACATTGTTAGTTTTGAATTACAAGATGTCCTCTTTTAATTAAAACCCTTGTGGTTGCCTTTTAAATGCGTAATAGAACAGTTACATTTAAAAAATTTTTTAAGTCAATGTTTTACTTTATATAAAGGGTTAAATGCTTTAAGGATAAAACAACATGACACTGTATGAGTGATGAAACTGGCTTTTAGAATTGTTGGATTAAAATGGAAAGGAAAGTATGCACACGAACCTGAGTCAGGATGCAGTGGCTACTAATAAATTCAAGTGTAAGAGTGTGACAAGAATAAGCTTCCATTTATAAAGAAGCACTTCACTAAACAAACTGAAACCCTGAGGAATTTTCAAATTATGAAGTAATAGGAACAATCATTTAATACAGAAGGAGGGAGCTAGTCCATGCCTCCTTCCTTGACTGTCTCATAAGATCAAATCGTGGAGATGACTGAAACTGGGAAGGTGATTTCGTGGCAACATAACAGATTACCATTTAGAAAGGCCAAACCCCTGAGAGCTGACTGCATTAGAGGAGGATGGGGCTAAGATTAGAACACAGTTGTGTTCAGAAATAGCCTGACACTTAGTTGGCTTCCCACCCAGTCCCTCTCCCCAACCACGTTAACACATCTCTCTCCTGACACTTTGTAAACATTCTTATATCTGTCTTCAATCATCCTTCTCTCTCTAAAGGTTCATCTCTTAGTAGCTTTGACACAGCTTTCCTTTGACACAGTTTTTGCGGTAACTCTCTTTTTTTTTTTCTTAAACGGTGTTAGAATGCTTGTTCCCAGGTACTGCAAGAAAAAGTTAGCATTCAGACAAAAAGTTTTCTCAGCAAGGCAATTTTATTTTCTGCAGAAAGGGTGCTCGTGTCAGCCATCTCGCCATGAGAGTACAATGAACAAAGGAAAGGCCGGCATATTTATTCCTTACGCATTGGGTTATTACTGCTGTGTCCAGTCTCCACTGATTAGAGCCAGACCTCACAATCTAAACTAAAACTGATTGGCTAACAACTTAGAACTTTTCTAAATAGGTAAAGGCAATGGAGAACAAAGGAAAAGAGGAAGTCCAAATAAGGAAGGGGCATAGGCTGTGAGCTGTGACATGCCTGTGAGCACATCCTGAACAAATATCTTGGTTAAAGTACAAGGACATAGAATGTACCATGTGCCTGTGAGCATGTCTAACAGCTACTACATAGGATAGGACTTAACAAAGAGCTATTAGCAAAAAACAAGAAGCCTTTGAAGAAAGTGAGTCTTTAAAGCAAACTATTATTTCTAACGTTTATTGTTATTATTCCTTAACAAGAAGGGAAACTTTGAAGCGGAACTTTCTACTTTATACACAGGGTCTTGCTCTGTTGCCCAGGCTGGAGTGCAGTGGCATGATCTTGGCTCACTGCAACCTCAACCTTTTGGGTTCAAATGATTCTCTTGCCTCATCCTCCCAAGTATCTGGGATTACAGGCATGCACCACCATGCCCAGCTAATTTTTTTTTGTTAATAGAGACAGGGTTTCACTATGTTGCCCAAGCTGATCTTGGACTCCTGACCTCAAGTAGTCTGCTGCCTCCACCTCCCAAAGTACTAGGATTACAGACGTGAGCCACCATGCCCAGCCTGCGTGTTATCTCTTATAAGCATGAGCAGTTCTGCTCCAGCTTACCTTCAGAATGCACACCCTGGGATTAATCTTCTTATCAGTATGCAGTCAGATGTCCTGCCATCACTCCATCACCATTGTTCATCGTCAGGACTGCAGTTAATTACAGTATTAAATGCTTGTCTTCCAGTAGAGCAGTTCCTTAATGCTGTGTCTCCAGCCTCTAACCCAGTGCCTGGCAGAAGTGGGGACCCAGTAAACACTTGCTGAATGATTGACAGCAAGAGGCTCCTTCCGAGTCTGGCTGTGCCACAGCCGCAGCCTGAGGCAGATATGGGAGAATGGCAGGGAGAACTGGAGAGATATGCAGGGACTGGATCCCAGAGGCTTAAAGTCATGTGAAGGAACTTGTACTGCACCCCAAGAATAGTAAGAGGCCGTCGAAGCGTCATAAATCTAAATCCATCCTTGCATTGGACATCTCCCTTCTAGACTCTAACTAGTGATTTCTCAGACTTAGTAAGAAAATTTTAATCCATGTTCGTAGAAACTCTTATGTGGCACATAAGAAAGAAAGTATAATTGTAAGTATTATTTATGGTTACATATTCAGTAAATTTCTAGATACTTCCAGAGAACTTTTTGTACTTTATAAAGTAAATAATCTTACATATTTAAATAATAAGTTTGGATTTATAAATAACTGGACTAATTTAAATATTTACATTTCCATTCAGAAATGAGTATACTGAATTTTGGGATCATGGTAAAAACACACCCTATGGTATTTTTAGATTTCAAATTGAAAAGGCAATTTCTTAAATCTTCTCAGTAATTTTATGGTATATACCTAAAAATAAGCAGAAGTAAAAAGAGAATTATCTTCACCCAAGGAATTAAATAAAAAGTATGTTATAAAAACAAGCACCTTTTGTACTTAATTCTGCTTTTGAAGGAATTTACATTGGAAATTATTTTTAGTTTCTATTTTATTGGACCAAAGAAGTTAAAGCCTCATGCAAATACAATACTATGTAATGTTAAACTCGTATTATTTTTAAATAGCCAGCATTTTTGTGGTTTTCAAGTGTGCCTTCCAAGAAATTACAGGATTTCTTCTCTTTTTAAGAACGTGTACTTCTTCTGTTTGTAAACGTAATAGATGGTTATTGCAAAACATTTAGAAAACAAACTTAAAATGCATCGGTTCTGACCTCTTCCTTCCTATCTTTCATGTCAGTTTCACCATTTAAAAAAAAACTGCCTTCTTTTTGTTTTTATTAAAGGCAATTTTCTAACATGGTTTTCAACTTATTTGCATCTCACTGGTTCCTATTGGATTCATTTTCCTTCTTACTGAAATAAATTCTTGAGTAGTTTCTCAATGAGGATCTATAAATGATAAACATAAGCTTTTGGCTAGAAATGCTTATTTTTTACACTTTTCAATTGTAATTTAGCTACATATGTGAGGCGATTTTCTTAAATATATTACATTCTTATATTTTTATATCTTGCTGATGAGGCTAAAAGGTACAGTGATAACTTCTGCATCATTAAAAATATTTGTCTTAGAAAGCTGTACTTTTTCTTCCTTAAAATAATTTCCTTTCATTTACTGTGCTAATATATAATTTTTTAAATAAGTAAATGGTTATGAGTCATGCTATGCTTACTATAAAATATGTTAAGATTGCTACTTAAATATACATGTACTAGTGAACTGTTACGTTGTATAATAAACTGTACATGGTGGCATGTATTTCCAAAAGCAGTGTTTTGAGTCATATTTTATTTTCTGAGGCACAGTCTCACTCTTGCCCAGGCTGGAGTGCCGTGGCATCATTAGAGCTCACTGCGGCCTCCACCTCCCAAGCTCGAGTGATCCTGCCACCTCAGCCTCCTGAGTAGCTAGGGCTACTGGTTACTTCTTTTTCCTTAGTGTTTTTGTAGAGACAGGATCAAGTTAGATGGTGTCCTGCAGTAGTTCTTCTGGAGCAGTTCTATCCAGTAGAGGTTTCTGTGATGATAGAAACGTTCTCTGTGTTGTCCAGTAAACTAGCTGCTAGCTCTAGACCTTGAGTATTGACATGTTCTCTTTTTATTTACGTTTATCTTTTATCAGCTGAGTAGACATTTTGAATTAATAGCTTGATTGATTTTAGACTGTGTAATTTAAAATTATGTATTTTTACATGGAGATTTTTTTCCCGCCCGGAAATTCAAGGCTGATTAGTTTCTTGGTTTTAGTGGTTACGAATCGCCTATACAATAAGGTGATGAAAAGTACATTGTGGCATTGTAATGAGTGAGTTTGTATGTTTAGCCTGTGTATATTCTACATTATAGTCATATATTCAGTGCATTTTTAAAATATTAAGGTTAGCATATCCTGAGGTTATCTTTTTATATATTAGTTGTCATTGAGTAAGAGGAATTTTAGAAATAATAGCTCTTCATATTTCACCCTGCTGAACAAGAGCGTTAATAATGCGTTATGTTTTTTTCAGATTGCAAATAGAAGAGTCTTCCAAACCTGTGAGGCTGTCACAGCAACTGGACAAGGTTGTGACAACCAATTACAAACCTGTTGCTAATCATCAATACAATGTAAGTCTTCTGCTGTATCTCGTCATGCTTTTATATTTTTATTCTTTTCTGTATCAGAGAGTCTTAGGTTTTCTTTTGTTTTTTGAAATGGAGCGTCACTCTGTCAGCTAGGCTGGAGCACGGTGGTGCAATCTCAGCTCACTGCAACTTCGCCTCCCAGGTTCAAGCGATTCTCCTGTCAGCCTCTCGAGTAGCTGGGACAACAGGCACCCACCACCGCATCTGGCTAACTTTTGTATTTTTAGTAGAGACGGGGTTTCACCATATTGGCTAGGCTGGTCTAAAACTCCTAACCTTGTGATTCGCCAGCCTCGGCCTCCCAAAGTGCTGGGATTATAGGCGCGAGGGACCACAGCTGGCAGAGTCTTAGGTTTTCAAAGTAACTAAGCGATTATGCACCTTGCCCTCAGGTGCTTGAATTACAGTACCTGATCTGAACTTAGTAAGGAATATGACAATTTGCTAAAAGTGTACAAAAGATGTTTAATCTGCATTCCAAGTTATATAATGGCAAAAAGAAGGCAACTTTCAAACTACCCTAGATAAAATTTGTTTTTCGTTTTGTTTTGTCTTTTTCTGAGACAGAGTTTCACTCTGTCACCCAAGCTGAAGTGCAGTGGCATGATCTTGGCCCATTGTAACCTCCACCCCCTGGTTTCAAGCAATTCTCCTGCCTCATCCTCTTGAGTAAGCTAGAATTATAGTCACTTGCCACCACACCTGGCTAATTTTTTGTGTGTTTTTAGTAGAGATGAGGTTTCACCATGTTGGCCAGACTGGTCTTGAACTCGTGATTTCAGGTGACCCACCCGCCTCAGCCTCCCAAAGTGCTGGGATTACAGGCTTGAGCCACCGCACCTGGTTACCCTTGATAAGTTTTTACAAAGAAACAAAACACTTCAATTCTCAATGTTGCTAATGTATAAATAGTAGTTTTAGTATTTAAAAAAATTTTTCTAGGCCAGGCATGGTCTATTTTGAAAGAGAGAGAGAGAGAGAGAGAGAGAGAGAGACAGAGACCACATTCACAGATTGTTATTACAGTATATTGTTATGGTTATTCTGTTTTATTATGGGTTATTGTTAATCTCTTACTGTGCCTAATTTATAAGTTAAACTTTATCATAGGTATGTATGTATGTTAAAAACCATAATATATAGAGTTTGGTACTATCCACAATTTCAGGCACCAAGTAGGGCAGGGAGGTGTCTTGCAACATATCTCCTGCCAATAAGGGGAAAATACTGTATATTGTATTTTAAGACATTTTTTATTGTTGTGCATCTTATATGTACTATATGTATTATACAATATACACATTTATTGAATACATATTATATACACTTTGTGCCAGGTATTGGTCTGAGTGCTTCATAAGTAATGACATTTAATTTTCATACCAACCCTGTGAAGAAACTACAATAGTTGAGGGAACTGAGGCAGAGAGATTAGCTTACCTGAGGTGGCGCATCAAGTAATTGATCGGTCTAGGTGTTGAACTCAGGCAGTCTGACTTAGGAGCTATACTGTTAACCACAGTGTATGTTGCTGCTGGACATTAGCAGTTCTAATAGGGCTAAGGATTTGGGGTTTTGAAATATCTGTGATGTAGGCTGAGTGCTGTGGCTCATGCCTGTAATCTTAACACTTTGGGAGGCCGAGGCAGGTGGATCATGAGGTCAGGAGTTCAAGATCAGCCTGGCCAAGATGGTGAAACCCTATCTCTACTAAAAATACAAAAAAAAAAAAATTAGCCAAGCATGGTGGCAGAAGCCTGTAATCCCAGCTACTCAGGAGGCTAAGGCAGGAGAATCACTTGAACCAGGGCAGTAGAGGTTGCGGTGAGCCAGGCTGCACTCCAGCCTGGCTGACGGAGTAAGACTCCATCTTTTAAAAAAAAAAAAGAAAAGAAAGGCCAGGCATGGTGGTGTATACGTGTAATCCCAGCTACTCAGGAGGCTGAGGCAGGAGAATCACTTGAACCTGGGAGGTGGAGGTTGCATTGAGCTGAGGTCAGGCCATTGTACTCCAACCTGGGCAACAGAGTGAGACTCCATCTCATTAAAAAAAAAAAAAAGGCATGGACTGTTGTGCCACACACCCCGTGATCCATCCAAAAACAAGGACTGCATCCTAAATTCCAAATACCAGAGACTGAACTTTTCAGCCTTGCTAAGGGAGCACCTTGATGTTTGAACGTTTCTGGTTTGTACAGGGCATTCTCTGTACTCGTTTGTTGTGGTTATAAAACAATTAGCAAAATAGCCTACATTTGTATTTATTTTCTATTCCACATTTCTGCGCCACGTTGTTTTCTCTCAAAATCCATTCCTTTAAAAAATAAATGTTGGAGATGTGGAAAAAAAAAAAAAGAAATACCTGTAATGTAGTAAGTGTGCAGGTTTCCTGAAAATAAAACACCTAAGTCAAGTCAGATGGCAATTAACAGTGAGACTTTGCATCCCACTTTACTGTTTGAGATTACCTTTGATACTGAGTTTAGGAAGGAAACTCTCTTTAAGACCTGCCTTAAGTATCAACATTTGTCAAGTGACACAGGATAGGATCTACCAAACTAGTACTTCATGATATTTGAATGGTAATTTTATATGAAAGGTAGCAAATGCAGATGCCGGCTAAGCAGACATCTTACAGGAGCGGGACAATGAAATGTAAGAAAGTAAATGTTAGGGACTGTGTGAACTGGAGTGCACGTGACCCTTATGAATACAGTCACATTTTGAAATTGTTACACTGTGTGGGTCCGACAAACCACATGAAAAGTTCAAGTGCATCCAGCCCGTTTCACAGCCTCTGCTTATGCTTCAGGGGGAAACAAACTACAGAAGAGGGCAGGTCAGGTGTCACGATTCCGTTGTTTCTGACTTAGACAGACAGATAAAAGCCCACGTCTCTGTCCTCTTCCATTCTGGTCTTTTCTACTCTTGGGTGGGAATACATACAGTTTTCTGGAGCTACATGTAAACGGAGACTCTACTCTATTTTGCCAAACGGTATAGATCTTAGTTGCTTTTGCCGTTCTTCCTCATCGGTGTGCAGCTTTCTGTAGCTCCTGACTGAGCTTTTTTCTCCTTTTATAGGCCACACTTCTGTGTGGTTTCTACCCTCGTGTGTGTTTTTATTACAGTGAGTACAAGAAAGACCACACTTTCTTAGGCTGTGAAGAGTTACTACCTTTCAGGAGGAAGTTTGGTAATTTATGTCAAATGTACTATAAAAGGATATATCCTTCGACCTAGAAGTTTTGTGTCTAGGAATTTATTATAGTGAGGCCAGTGCCCAATGATATATATAAAATAATGTTTCTTTCTGTTGTTTAAGATAGGAAAAGATTGGAAACAAATGTCCCAAATTTGGGATTGATTAATATTTTAAGTCATTATATTCAATGGTAGGATCTAGAGTGATTTAATTCTAATTTTCTTTTTTATAAAATATTTTCCAGCAGCTGGAATTGTCACAGTGAGCACATATCATCTGAGTTGTTGCAGTAAGGAATACAGTTATGCTGGGAAGGAAAAAGCCAGGGAATAGCTAGCCATGGGAGCACCTACCACTGTTATCTAAGACTTACGTTCTTTAAACAGCAGGTGCTTTTGACCTGAGATACATACCCGTGGTGAATAACGCAAACACATTCTATTCCAGACTCCTTAGTGTATAAAGCCGCAGCATTCTCTATAAAGATAATCAGCAGTAAGTGACATTGTAGTTCCAGATCTCAACCTTAGTTAAGGTTGCCATAGTGAAAATGAGTCATTATAGTAATGAGTCTTTGATTAAGATTTTGTCTACATACAAACAGATTGGCTCTAATCTACCACACTGTATTTGAATGTTTAATTTTCATTTCTTTTGGGAGTAAACCAGGATGGGCACCTGCATAGCTTTAAAAGGCATATTTAGTATTGTAGTGTAATACCAACTATAGAAAGAGTATAACATTTTTGTTATTCGTTAGAAGAGGACATTGATTTTTAAGACTGAGAAACATAAACACAGGTCAGCAAGAATGATTTAGAGGAAACATAATAAAGACTTTTAATTAAAAAAATTTTAACTCAATATAGTGTTAAAATGTTTTCCAAGTCTTGCCAGATGAAGCTATATAAACATGGAGCTCAGTGTTTCATTTCAACAGCTGAGCTTCTTTGAATGCAATTTTCAGAATAAAACTATAAAAAAATGTTTTGTACAAAAAAATGAAAGAGGGACTGGGAAATTACATATGTATATGCAAAACGATGTTCCCACATTTGGTCAGAAAGAAACTACCTTGGACTTACCAGCAGCTTTTTCACCCACCCATGTCACCTAGATGAATTTACCTGTATGTATGTAGAGAAAATACCCAGTTTTGTTCTTGGGGATATTCTAAAAATTAAATTCAGATTCATCTTTTTAATTCACGAACTATCTGGGTATAATGTCTGTCACACTTGTCATTCCGAAACCGTTTACTGGGCCAAAAGGAATTACATGATTGACACCATATCTTAAAATGCTCCTTCATCGAAATCACACCCCTAAAAACCATCCTCTTACTAGGGTATGACGTGTCAGTTCTTTTTCCCTAAGTGGCGTTTCCTGTGCCTTAAATCTCCATTAAGTGTCTGAACTTGAATCAGTTCGTGTAGGTCAGTATTTTCCAGGTGAATTTTTTGTGACAGTAACTTGGTGAGACAGAGTCCCCCTGTAGGGGAAGTCGTGTCAAAAGGGTTCTGTGTTTAAAGAACCTGTAGATCTGAGTCCATCCCCCTCTTAAATAGATACTTCACTTTAATGTACTCAAGACTGCGAAGCTTTAGAAATTTGTTTAATGCTGCATTTACAAACATTTGAACGTCAAGTTTCTCCCATTCTTTGAAGTAGTGAAAACAGACATTGGGGAAATTACGGAGATGTCAAAGTAGGGTTTGCAAGAGGCCCCTGGGCGAGGGGGAAATTATTATAACGTATTTATCCTGTTTCGCACCTA